GAACCCGATAAGGGTATCAGGTGTAAACTTTGGTTTTATAAACAGAGATGAGAAATTTTCAGAATGATCTCGCTGGGGCATTTCACCGAACTGGCGACGGGCATCCTGGCATCTAACTTTATGCCCGGGAAATAATGGCTTAACTCTTCCCGTTTTCTTCCCACACCTGTCACCAGAATTTTTGTACTTCCTCTCCGGCTCTTCGGGAAGTCCCGAAGACCGATTATTATTTTTTTTTTTTCACACCTGCTTCACCCTTCCCGACATGCATATTAAAACATTGCTCCATTCTGGAAAAGATCCCCCTCCAAATTTCCTCATTCTAGGCCAGGCTTTTGTCTCCACGACTAAACCAGACTTGTTGAGGTCGCTCCGTTTGCCAAACTTTGTTTTTACAAGAAGTTTTGCAAAGTCCTTTCGAAAGCCAAAGAGGAGAAACAACACAGAAATGCAGAAAGAGGCCAGGAAGAAACTTCGCGCTGCTCCGTTCTCTGTTTTTAAATTTCTTTGTAATTATTATTATTATGTAATTATTTCCCTTTTAAAAATTTCACGTGACTTATTTTTATTTGATTATTTGCATCTCATCTGACTATTTTTATGTTATCTTTTTTATTTCATTGGACTATTATTATTTTATTAAGTTTATTTCATTTGATTATTTTTTTATTTCATTGGACTATTTTTATTGGATTATTTGCATCTCATTGGACTATTTTTATTTTATCTTTTTTAGCTCATATGGCTATTTTTACTTTTATCTTTTTTATTTCATTGGACTATTATTATTTTATTTGGTTTATCTCATTTATTTCATTTGATTATTTTTTATTTCATTGGACTATTTTTATTGGATTATTTGCATCTCATTGGATTATTTTTATTTTATCTTTTTTTAATTTCATTAGACTATTTTCATTTTCTCGTTTTTATTTCATTAGACTATTTTTATTTTATTGGACGATGTCGTGAAGCTTTCCTGACCTGCTCCGAAAGAGTTGCCATGATGTTTTATTTCCAGGATCCAATCTGGATCGGTCACCGGGATCCAGAGTTTTTTTTGTTTGTCTGTTTGATTTGAGCATTTTTATTTTACTTGACTATTTTTATTTGATTTTATTTCATTTCATAGGATTAGTTTTATTTGGCATTTTTGTCTACCTATCAAATCCTTTCCAAGCATCTGGGACAGGCAGATGAGGATGTTTGATCGTTTTACAGATTTTATTTATTTCTGTTTCCTTTTATTCTTTGTAGTTCTATTTTGTTTTGATTTCCTGTTATTATTTTTACTTCTATTTTACTTTTATTTCATGTTATTATCTTTATTTCTATATTTTTATTTCACTTTACTGTTTTTATTTATTTTATCATTTTTGTTTCTGTTTTATTATTTTGATTTCATTGGACTATTTTTATTTATTTTACTATTTTGATTTCTATTTGATTTCACTATTTGAATTTCACTTGACTATTTTTATTTATTTTATCATTTTAGTTTCCATTCAATTTTATTGTTTGGATTTCATTGGACTATTTTCCTTGATTTTATTCTTTGGATTTCTATTTGATTTTATTCTTTCGATTTTTGATTTTATCGTTTTTATTTTAGCAGGCCAACAAAGCTACAGCAGAATGCCAACCTAAGCAGGGGCAAAAGAAAAGAAAGAAAGAAAGAAAGAAAGAAAGAAAGAAAGAAAGAAAGAAAGAAAGAAAGAAAGAAAGAAAGAAAGAAAGAAAATTGGAGAAATTTTGGAGTTGGCACCCAATTCTCACCCAATTCTCTCCCACTGCATTCCATTCTCCGGTTAAAAATAACAACATTCAGATAAAATCCTAAATTCTTTGGCAAAGAAACCCCCGCATAAAAATTGGCTGCCGGACCAATGGACAGAACTGCGCTGGGCACAGACGGGATGCCATCTTGAGAAAAACCAAGTTTGTAAGGGAGGCTCCTTTAAAATCAGGAGTTGCTGAGGATGATGGTTTATTTTTCCCTCGGGAGAAAATCTCCCACGCCTCCCAATTTTCAGAGAACCAATCTGAGCTTCTGCAGAACCAGCGGTGACCTCGAAGGAGATTTTTGGATTGCAATAAGAGTTATTTTGCCAACTTTTAATACCGCCCCAAAATCACTCGATAGCGGAGAGGGGCAGCCTATAAATTTAATAAATGCAATCGATCAATCAATCAAATCCAACCTGGCTCGATTCGCCAATTCAGAATTTCAGCAGCTTCATTCATTTAAAAGTGTTTTTTTCCCCCCTTCTTCTTCTTCTAATTTCGGCAACTTTTCAGATGTCTTTGAAATAACCTGGCTTTTTGTAGCATCCCTGTCAAAACCTGGCCAATTCCTGGAATAAATTAATCAATCAATCGATTGGTGCAATTTAGCGCTCCACGATAAGGTAGCGTTTCTCAAACTTGGCTACTTTTAAGACGGGCGGACTTCAACTTTTCTCCCCTTTCTTTTAATTTTTCTCCCCTTTTAATTGTTTTAAACTGAAATTTTAATTTGTTTTAAATTATTGGGATTTTTTAAATTGTCTTGGGCTAAATTATTCAATTTGGTTTTAAATTGTTTCTAACTTTTGTATTTCTGTATTTTATCCTGTGCCTGTTCACCGCCCTGAGTCCTTCGGGAGTAGGGCGGTATATAAATTTAATAAAACAAACAAACAAACAACAAACAAACTCCCAGAATTCCCCTACGCTGCTTTTATATAGCACTAAATTGCAAGCCAATTCACCTGGCTGGGGAATTCTGGGAGTTGAAGTCCACGGGGAGGGGGGGGCTTAAAATTTGGCCAGGTTGCAAAAAAAAAACAACCACGGCTCGAACCTGCTTTTTTTCAGCTCTAATTTGCTACTCTGAACTCAAGTTTGAATTTGGCAAACCTGGTCACCTGGATTTTTCAGCACCCTGACCTGTGATTCTTTCCCCGCCCCAGCCAGGTGTGTTATACCGAGGGTCCCTGTTTGGGGAAAACCAGAGCCCATCCCCATCGCCTTTTCTGTGCAAGAGAGAGCAAGCATGCAATCCCTTCCCTCCCCTCCCCCCCTTTTTGCCCCACCTTCTTCAAAGACCGCTGGGGTGGGGGGAGGGGAAGGAAGGGGGAAAGTCATCCTGAGCCTTTTGTTGCCTTTAAAGGTGTGGCAGAGGGGGGTGGGAGGAGGAGGAGAGAGGAAGGGAGGGGAGGGGAGGAGAAGGCCCAAGCAACTGACCCAACCTGCCCTGGCAGTTTTTTGAGAAAGGAGGAAAGAAAGAAAAAAAAGAGAGAGAGAGAGAAAGAGAGAGAGAGAGAAAACTCACTGAAAAAGTGGAAGTTATTTTTTTTTTCCTTCCTTCCTTTCTTTCTTTCCGAACAAGAAAAATTAAGGAAGGTAGAAAATCCAGGAACAGGTGCTTGGAAGAATTCCAAAGATTGGGAAGATGCTGGATATGGGGAGGGGGGTGGGCTGTTGGGGGAGGGATGGGCCGCCTTGTTTGCCAAAGCTGAATCGCTTAAACCAGGAATTACATTTAAAGCACCCAGAAATCTCAATTTAAGACTTTTTTTTTTTGTTTTTTAGAAAAAAAAAAGCCGGAGGGATCTTGTTGCAAATGGGGAGGGGGTTTGGGAAGAAAGGGGGGAGGGCAAAGAGGGGAGGGAGACCCCCTCCCCCACTTCCCAGAGGCGCGCTTGTCCAGCAGGTTCCCACGACCCCCAACAGCCATGGCAGAGAAAGAGTCGCCCAAGGGGGCATTGGGGTTGGCTTCGAGTGGCTTGGATGCCACCCACCCACCCAAAAATGGTGACTCGCTGGCCTTCCAGCGAGTAGGAAAAGAATAAGAAAAGCCCCCCCCCTCACGAGGGGACAGGGGGCTATTTTAGAGGGGGTTGGAGAAACCCCCGAGACAAAAGTGCCCCGGGGCATGCACAGAGTGCGTTGCTTAAGGCTGGCTCCCCACGACCCGCGAGAAACCCCGCTTCCTCTCCTACCCCCCCCTCTCCCCCCGAAGAGCCCCTCCAGCCGCCGCGATCTCGGCCGGACCGCGCCCTGCGCTCTTTTGGCAGCCCCGATCCGAAAATTCCCCTCCACTTCCTCGCGTGTTTTTCCCCCTCCACCCACGGTTTAAAGGGGGGGATCACTTTCGCCTCTCTTACTCACTCTCTCTCTCTCTCTTTCCTTGTTTGTCTTTCTTTCTCTCTTTCCTTCGTTCTTTCCCTCTTTCCCTCCTCTCTTTTTCTCTCTCTTTCTCTCTGTTTCTCTCTCCTCTTTCTCTCTCTCTTTGTTTGTTTCCTTCTTTCTTTTTCTTTCCTTCTTTGTCCTTCGTTCTTTCCCTCTTTCCTTCTTCTTTTTCTTTCTCTCTCTCCTTCTCTTTCTCTCTCCTCTCTCTTTGTTTCTTTCTTTCCTTCTTTGTCTTGCTCTCTTTCCTTCGTTCTTTCCCTCTCTTCCTTCTTTTTCTTTCCTTCTTTCTTTCTCTTTCTCTCCTTCTCTCTCTTTCTTTCTCTGTTTCTTTCCTTGTTTTTCTCTCTCTTTCCTTCGTTCTTTCCCTCCCTTTCCTTCTTTCTCTCTTCCTTCTTCCTCTTTCCTTCTTGCTTTCTCTTTCTCTCCTTCTCTCTTTCTCTGTTTCTTTCCTTCTTTCTCTCTCTTCCTTCTTTCCTTCTCTCTCTCTCTCCTTCTCTCTCTCTTTCTTTCTCTGCTTCTCTCTTTCCTCCTTTGTCTTTCTCTCTCTTTCCTTCTTTCTCTTTCTTTCCTTCTCTTTCTTCCTCTTTCCCTCTCTCTCTCTCTCTCTCTCTTTCCTCCGGGCGCGCCCGACAGGTGAGGTTTCCTGGCTCCCACGCGTGGGCAGCGGCGCCCGAAGGCGCGAACCAACCTCGCGGGCGGCTTGAAATCCGCGAGCGGCGGGGTCGAAAGGGCGAAGGCGCGGCCCGACAGGTAAACCCAACAGGTGTGTCTCTCTTTCTGCCTCCCCCCCCCACATCCCCGCGTGGGCGTCCTCCCCACTCACTCACCGCCCAGGGCCAGCATGGAGTCGTAGACCTTGCACTGGAGCTGCCCGGTGCTCTGCCAGACGCACTCCATCCACAGGCCCAGGTAGTAGGACTGCGCCGTGATGATGCTGCCGTCGGCGAAGGACGAGACCCGCCACTGGGGCAGGATCGTGGCCGTCAGGTTGGCGATCAGGCCCATCAGGGCCAGCACGAAGCCCAGCAGCTGCAAGCCCGAGTTGGCCATGGCCGGAGGCAGGGAGGAGGAAGTCCGAGGCGGAGGGAGAGCGAGCGAGAGAGCGCGGCTGCCTTTACCTGCGCGCCAGGTGAGCTCACCTGCATTTATGCCCTAGGGGCGGGGGGCGGGCGGCTGACATCAGGGCCGGAGGGGGAGGCTCCAGAGCAGCCGCCGCCCGGAGCCAGGAAGGGGCCGGCCCCGCTGTTTTTCTTCCTCTCTTTCGCTCTTCCTTCCTCCTTTTCTCTTCTCTCTTCTCCCTTTTACCTTCCGCCTTTCTTCCCTTGTCTCCTTTCCCTTCCTCTTTCCTTCTTTTCTCTTTTTCCTTCCCTCCTTTGCCTTCTTTCCCCTTCCTTCCTTTTTTCTTTCCTTTTCTCTTTCTTTCTCTTTTCTTTTTCCTTCTTCCTTCCTTCTTCCCTCCCCTCCTTAGTCTTCCTTCCCTTCCTCCATTCCCTTCCTTCCTTTTTTCTTTCTTTCCTTCTTTCCTTCCTTCTTTTTCTCTCATTTCTTTCCTTTTCTCCCTTCCTTCCTTCCTTCCCTTCTCTCCCTCCCTCCCTTCCTTTTTCTTTCTTTCCTTCTTTCCTTCCTTCTTTTTCTCTCATTTCTTTCCTTCTCTCCCTTCTTTCTTTCCTCCCCTCCTTTGCCTTCCTTCCCTTCCTCCATTCCCTTTCTTCCTTTTTTCTTTCTTTCCTTCTTTCCTTCCTACTTTTTCTCTCATTCCTTTCCTTCTCTCCCTTCCTTCCTTCCTTCCCTTCTCTCCCTCCCTCCCTCCTTTTTCTTTCTTTCCTTCTTTCCTTCCTTCTTTTTCTCTCATTTCTTTCCTTTTCTCCCTTCCTTCTTTCCTCCCCTCCTTTGCCTTCCTTCTCTTCCTCCATTCCCTTCCTTCCTTTTTCTTTCTTTCCTTCTTTCCTTCCTTCTTTTTCTCTCATTTCTTTCCTTCTCTCCCTTCTTTCTTTCCTCCCCTCCTTTGCCTTCCTTCCCTTCTTCCATTCCCTTTCTTCCTTTTTTCTTTCTTTCCTTCTTTCCTTCCTACTTTTTCTCTCATTCCTTTCCTTCTCTCCCTTCCTTCCTTCCTCCCCTCCTTTGTCTTCCTTCCCTTCCTCCATTCCCTTTCTTCTTTTTTCCTTCCTTCCTTTTTCTTTCTCCTTTCTTTCCTTCTCTTCTCTTTCCTTCCTTCCTTCCTTCTTTCCTTCCATCCTTTGCCTTCTTTCCTTTCTCCATTCCCTTCCTCTCTTTCCCTCCCTCCCTCCCTCCTTCCTTCCTTCCCTCCTTCCTCACAGACTCAGTTACAACGGCAATAGGGACATCCTTGTCTGACCTGAATAACAAATTAGGGCCAGAGATTCTCATAGTAGACGTCTATCTATGCAGTTACTAAGAGTCAAAAAACAACTTGATGACAGATAATCAATAAATTATCGAGCCGAGTTGTGTCAACCGTGGTTTCCTGAGTGCCCAGTGTGGGAAACACAAAAGCACCAGGATTTCTGACCATCATATGGTTAACCAGGTTCTGCTTTGCCGGAATGAGCCAAGGGGCTCACACAACACAAACCCTTTTCTACCGTAAACCAATCACACCGACTGGATTCTCACAACATGCAGGTCACACTGACTTCCCCCCATCCAGGCGCTTGCCAGGTAACTAAACTTCAACTCCCAGGGTTCCCTAGCCAGCAGGGCGGAGAAGGGGAGGCCAAATTCAGATGTGATTGGCTGACCTCAATTCAAAGTGTTTTGTCCGAGCAACAAATGAACCAACCACATTTCACCTTAGGGCTGCGAGATTTGAGATGCAAAAATGGCGACTTCCACACGAGGGCAGCAAAGAGACAATGAAAAAACACTGAACCTTTGCTGCCCTCTGATGGTGAAGCCAAATGTTGCAAGCTCGATTGGTCATTTTATTTATTTAAGGGAATTTAGGGGGTTTATACAGCTGCCTGTTTTTGCACATGGCGACTCAAAGCGGCTTACAGCATATAAAACCTCCTATAAAAACAATAAAACTAATAACGGAGGAGCCATATTATAAATTAATATAATAATTTCTTCCCGAAAGGATCTGCTTTCAACCTTTTTAAGCGTTTTAATATCAAAATTTGGGGGTGGGGGTGGGACTGGTTGCGTTGTTTTTAAAACAGAGATTATTGCAAAACTCAAAGACCCCCGTTTCTCCTCCCGTCTTCCCTTGAAAGACGGACAGGTCGTCCTCGGCTTACGACCACAAATGATGCCCCCCGCCCCAAATCTCTTTTGCTAAGTAAAATAGTTGTAAAGTGAGTTTGGCCCCATTTTGTGACGTTTCTGGACCCAGGTGTTAAACGAATGGCTGCAGTTGTTAAAGGAGTAACCCGGTTGTTAAGCGAATCCGGCTTCCCCGTCGACTTTTGCTCGTCGCAAAAGGAGACCACGTGATCCCCCGGGACACTGCAATCGTCATAAATATGAATCAGTTGTCAAATGTCCCAATTTTGACCACGAGGATGCTTTAATAATGGTGTGGAAAACGGCTGTTTTTTTGAGTGCCATTCACACGGTCACTAAACGAATCACCTGTACGGAGAATATTTGGAGTTTTGGACCTTTTACAAGGCAAGCTTTAAGCCAACTCAGAACTGAAAGTAAAAATGAAATATTACCATGTTTGTTTGTTTGTTTTGGTTAACGAAGATGGTTTGTTTTTATTACTTTGGATCTCCACCTGAGCTAAATATATTTCTGAGAAATGTTTATGGGCCCTGCAGAATTGCGTCTGAACATGTGGGAAGGGCGCCCGGTTTCTTCGGGGTGACGAGTTCAGATTTCGAAGAATGAATGAATCACTGACTCCGGAGTCCTTTTCTTTTTTGCCAAGTACCTGAGAACAAGGTGTGAGTACCTGTTTTACAGCTCAAGGGGATTAATCGAGGCTGATTTACGGCTTTACTTAAAGCCAAATAGAGCCTCCGTATTCCGAAGCAGTCTACATGGAACAGCACAGGGAGTCCTCGACTTACAACCAAAACCGACCTCGAAATTTCCGTTGCTAACCCGAGAGAGTTGCTAAGTGAGCTTTTAACCCGTTTTACGACCTTTGTTGCCACGGGTGTTAAAACGAATCGCTGCTGTTGTTAAGTGAGTCACACGGTCATTAAGCGAAATCTGGCTTCCCCGTTGACTTTGCTCATCGCAAAAGGGCATTGTCGTAAATACGAGTCAGCGGCCAAGCGGCCAAAATTTGGATCACGTGATCACGGAGATGCGGTTAACGGTCGTAAGTGTGAAAAATGGTCCTTAAGTCGTTCTTTCTCAGTGCCATTGTAACTTTGAATGGTCGCTAAATGAACTGTTGTTAAGTCAGAGAACCCAGCCAGAGAAGGGGGTTCACTCTGCGTATGCTCAGAGTTGCTCTGGTGCAGAGGGTTCCTCCAAGGGAGTTCAGGCCTGCAGGAGTCAGCTTCTGGCTTCGGGGTCAGTCGGTACGTGCCTTATGGGTTTCGTGGAGTGTTTTGATTGAGTTTGTGATTGGCAGGTGGTGGCAGTGTGTGAGTGAGAGAGAGAGAGAGGTTTGATTGATTGAAAGACAGACAGATGAGAAAGAAAGAGGGAGGAAGGGAGGGAGAGAGAGAGATGATGGATGGATTGAAAGACATAGAGATAGAGAGGGAGAGAGGAGAGGGAGCGAGAGAGAGAAAGAGAAGAGAGAGATGGATGGATGGATGGACTGAAAGACAGAGAGGGAGGGAGAGAAAGGGAGGGGGGAGAAATGATGGATGGATTGAAAAACAGATAGAGAGGGAGGGGAGGGAGAGAAGAGGGAGGGAGAGAGAAAGAAAGAAAGAAAGGAGGGAGGGAGGGAGGGGAGAGAGATGGATGGATTGAAAGACATAGAGATAGAGAGGGAGAGAGGAGAGAGAGAAAGAGAAGAAGGGAGAGATGGATGGATGGATGGAAAGACAGATAGAGAGGGAGAGAGAGAGAAAGGGAGGGAGGGAGAGGGAAGAAGGGAGGGAGAGAGATGATGGATGGATTGAAAGACATAGACAGAGAGGGAGGGGGAGGGAGAGGAGAGGGAGGGAGAGAGAAAGAAAGAGGGAGGAAGGGAGGGAGAGAGAGATGATGGATGGATTGAAAGACAGAGATAGAGAGGGAGAGAGGGGAGGGAGAGAGAGAAAGAAAGAGAGGGAGGGAGGGAGGAAGAAAGAGAGGGAGGGAGAGAGAAAGAAAGAGGGAGGGAGGGAGGGAGAGAGAGATGAGGGATGGATGGATTGAAAAACAGAGATAGGGAGAGAGGGGAGGGAGAGAGAGAAAGAAAGAGATGGGGAAGAAGGGAGGAAGAGATGAGGGATGGAATGAAAGACAGAGGGAGGGAGAGAGAGATGATTGATAGATTGAAAGACAGAGATGAGAAAGAGAGAGAGAGAGAGAAAGAAAGAGAAAAAGAGAGAGAGAAGAGAGAGAGAAAGAAAGAAAAAGAGAGAGGGAGAGAGAAGAGAGAGAGTGAAAGAGAGAGAAATGATTGATAGATTGAAAGACAGAGATGAGAAAGAGAGAGAGAAAGAAAGAAGAGTGAGAGAGAGAGAGAAAGAGAGAGAAAAAAAGAGAGAGAGAGAAAAGAGAGAGAGAGTGACTGGGCCAGGTCTTCCTGCCCAATGGGAGCCCAGTTTCGATCTCTCTCCGGCCTCTGCAGCGGTGGAGGAGAAGGCCAAATATGGAGGTGTCTTCCTGCTCCACCCTTCCTCACGGCTCATCCCAGACGGAGGCGAGGCCGACCTCACCCTCCCCACTCCGCCTGGCCCTCATCAAAACTCACTTTTATGGCCACTTGCGGTTTCCTCCCGACAGTGAAACCGAGACGATGACAGGCAGGGCCCTGGGTTCCTCGTGATTGACAGTCATTAGGAAGTCGGGAGAAAAAATATCACCGCCGCTGATTCCGTCACAGGACAAGAGTTTTCTCCTTGGGGGTGAGAAGTACCCAAAGAGCAAGAGAATGAGACCGTTGGGGTAACCGGATTTGGGCTGCAAACATCCAGATGGCCACTAGGGGGCAGCAAGGGTTTAGGTTTGTTCATCTCTCTTTCCTGCCCCCTAG